CCCACCCATCTCTAGGGCAAGGCCACTTGTTCCCTCCCAGCTGCCACTGCAACAACCAGTTCTGGTGGGCTGCAGCCAGTGTCTGCTTGCTGCAGCCTGCTAGGCACTCACAGTCGTGAAGGTCACAGTGGCAGGGTGGCTGGTACCCGCGCAGAGCTAACTTTTGGTTATGAGAAGCAGAAGCCAGTAGATGAATTCTGATCCCTTCCTACCCCTAGGGTTCCTGTGGTTTCTCAGCAGAAACCACAGGAACCCTAGGGGTAGAAAGGGATGATGCTTCCAGGTGAAGCATCATTTGCATGTGATACTAAGTGGTTGCTGCTAGCCCTCCTTCTCTGCTCTACCCCTCTTTCCTCTCATCCTGCTTCCCTGGCTGCACTCTTCAATCAAGAGGTGGCTCATAAGCTTCCACTTTCTGGGAAATCCAGGCTAAGACCTGGTTACTATTACTATTTTCACAATCTAACTGGAGTGAAATACAAGATTTTTGGACCTCATTAGAAAGTCAGCCTGTGTAACACCTGCCTCCTACACTAGACTGAGCCATTCATTTTGGTGTCCCTAGCGTGGAAAATAATGTTTGAATTCTTTAGCAAGCTCCATTCTTCCCTTATTCTTTTCAGTAAAATCAATCACATTAGGAGGGTGCTGTTCCTGGATACTTGAATATTCTGCTGCATGTGGTTTTTAACCTTGGTACCATCTTTTTCAAACTGATGGTTTTGAAACTACTATCCTTTTCAGAGTGGTTACTTTCCTAAATGTATAATTCAATGAGTTTAATAAGTGGATATAATCATAAAACCACCACCAAAATCAATTTACAGAATTATTTCCCTGGCCGGGTGTGGTGGTTCATGCCTATAATTCCAGCACTTTGGGAAGCCGAGGCAGGAGAATCACTTGAGATCAGGAGTTCGAGACCAGCCTGGCCAATATGGAGAAACCCTGTTTCCTCTAAAAATACAAAGATTAGCTGGTTGTGGTGGTGCATGCCTGTAATCCCAGCTACTCAGGAGGCTGAGGCAGGAAAATCATTTGAACCCAGGAGGCGGAGGTTGCAGTGAGCCGAGATTGCACCACTGCACTCCAGCCTGCGTGACAGACTGAGACTCCATCTAAAAAGAAAAAAAGGAATAATTTCCCCACCACAAAAAGTTGCATCATGCCCTTGGCAATCCATCTGCTCCCAAACCCAGACCCAGCTTTCTGCCACTGTGCTACTGCCTTTCCTGGAGGTCAAGCAAATAAAACTTCAAGTATTTCATCTTTTGTGCCTGGCTTCCTTTACTTACCCAATGCTTTAAAATTCAGCTACATGATTTCCTGTGTCAGTACTTTAATACTCACTAGGATTCCATTGTGTGGATGCAACAGGATGTTGATCCATCCTCTTCATTGGAGGGTTGGGTCATTTCTGCTTTCTGGTTATTTTACATAAAGCTGCATTAACATTGCTTGTCACCTCTGGACTGGACTGGAGCTGGACTCCCAGGCAGTCCTGGGCAGAGATGGGCCCTGGGAGCAGGACAGGCCAGGATCTGAAGACAACTGGCAACCACAGGACTAGAGCTCCAGCTTCTTTTTGAAAAGGTCTCTCTGGCTGCCACACAGGAATGATACCTTGTCCAGGGTGGTGTCAACATGAAAGGAGATGTATTTGGCGCTACAGCAATTCCAGTTGCTCTTCGGGCCCTCAGCCTCCAGGTTCACTCAGTGACCATGAGCGGAAATAGATAATTAAGATTAGTCATGGCCAAATGGGATGGCACATACCTGTAATCCCAGCACTTTGGGAGGCCAAGGCAAGAGGATTGCTTGAGCTCAGAAATTCAAGACCAGCCTGGCAACATGGCAAAATCCCCTCTCTACAAAAATTACAAAGATTAGCTGGGTATGATGGTACACTCCTAGCTACTTGGAAGGCTGAGGTGGGAGAATGGTTGGAGCCCAGGAGGTTGATGCTGCAGTGAGCTGTGATTGCATCACTGTACTCCAGCATGGGTGACAGAGTGAGACCATATCTCAAAGGAAAAAAAAGAAGATTAGTCATAACAGCACAAATGGAAAGGAGCAGACAAGGATCCATCCACTCAAAAGTCAGGGCCGATTGCTGTGATTACCTTGAGCCCTCAGGACACAGATTTGAGGATCAACCCAGAGGTCTTGAAATGGAGAGAAAATCAAGCTTAGTCTTGATGGACATCATCACAAATGTCACCTTAAAGCATTTATCACAGTTACTAGTTTGCATTTTTGTGATTTTTTTTTTTTTTAGAAATGCTTATTTCCTAGTAGAATATCATTCCACTTGTATCCTACAGTCAGTGACATCTAATTACTGGTTTCTAGATGTTCGAGACCAGTGTCCTGGGCAGGTCCTGGAGACAGCCTCTTCTCAACACTGCTGAGGAGTGTGGGACATCTTCTGTATAAACAAGAGACCTAATTCCTGCTGTTCCAGGAACTACAAGTGGAGGCTGTCACAACAACTACAGTCCCTCAGGCTGAGCTCTCGGTTCAACATGTAGTCCTGATATCTAGGCCACAAGATTTGGCCCACAGAACTCTGTACTGTTTCAAAGAAGCTCTTGGGCAACAATGCAAATGAGACCACACCTGAATTTTGACCTGTTCCCTACCATTCTGCTGTCCCCTGAAGCAAAGTCAGGACTTCCCAAAAAAGCTTTCCCTTGTCTATTAAACTATCACCAGTAAATGGCTGTGACAAAGCACCAACAGAAGCACATGCCTTGGGAGCCCGAGTGGCTCCTGCACTAGCTGCTTAAGGCCGGCAGTGCCTGATGCTGTTCTCAATCGATCCCATGCAATGAACAGAAACCCCAGGACTGAAGTGGCTTAAACTCTTTGTCACACAATCCAGGGCAGTGTAAGGCAGGCAAGTCCTGGAATAGAAGGGTTGGAAACTCGTTGGGTCTCATACAGACATCATGTGTGGGGCCAACAATATTATGAAAAAGGGCAACTATCTCTGGAAGCCCTGAGACCCCCATCTCAGGTGCTCTCAGGCAAGGCTGGATCATGTCCATACCTAATCTGTCAATGGGGAGGCAGTGAGGACCCCTAAAGGGCTTAAACAGGGTGGTTACTTTTTTAGCTTGTTATGTACAATTCAAAAAAGCAGATTCAGTAAAGGCTCTGCGGTAGGCTGAAAAGGGCCCTCCAAAAGACCCACGTCCTATTCCCTGAAACCTGTGAATGTTTCCTCATTTGGCAAAGCCAAATGTGATTGAAGTACAGGTCCTGATATGTGCAGATGATCCTGGATTATCTGGGTGGTCTCTGAATGCAATTACATGTATCCTTACAGGAAGGAGACAGAGGTAGACTTCATATACACAGAGGAGAGGGTGATATGAAGATAGAACACAGAGATTTGAAAATGTTGGCCTTGAAGATTTTGGTGATGTGATCACAAGCCACCAGAAGCCAGAAGAGGCAGGGAATAAATCCCCCATGGAGCCTCTGAAGGGAGCTTGGCCCTGCTGACACTTTGATTTCAGTGCAGTGTTACTGATTTCAGACATCTGGCCTCCAGAATTGTGAGAGAATACATTTGTATTGTTTTTAAGCCACCAAATTTGTGTAATTTGGTATAGTAGCCACAGGAAACCAGAACAGCTTCTTCTTAAAAAGGGCCTGGGTAATATACCAAAAAAATTAGCTAGGTATGGTGGTGTGCACCTGTAGTCCCAGCTACTTAGGAGGCTGAAGTGGGAGGATTGCTTGAGCCTAGGAGGTTGCAGCTGCAGTGAGCTATGATCATGCCACTGCACCCCAGTCTGGGCAACAGAATGAGATCCTGTCTCAAAAACAAAGAAAAAGGCCTTCTAAGGTCACCCAACTCAGCCCTTCATGGCTACAGTCTGCCTTTTTCAGCATTTCTCCTTCCTATATGCCTACTGCCAACTCAGACTCTGCTTTCTAATGATGCTCAGAAATCTGGTAGTTAACCAAAGTTAGACTGTAAGAACAGCAATTATAAATAAAACCCCATCTTGCAGGAGAGAACATTAAGATCTAGCTGACCCTTCATCCTGACCTCCCAGCCCTCACCCATGCTAAGCACTTTCCAAACAGCTCAGTGTGTCTCAAAATGTGGTCCAAGGACTGCCTGCATTGAATCACCTGAGGCACTTGTTAAAGATGTAAATGACTCCATCCCAGACTTGCCAAATAAAAAGTTTAGGGTTGAGGTGCAGAAATCTGCACATGTTAAAGATGTAAATGACTCCATCCCAGACTTGCCGAATAAAAAGTTTAGGGTTGAGGTGCAGAAATCGGCACATTTTTTTTTTTTTTGAGACAGAGTTTTGCTCAGGCTGGGTGAGGTACAGAAATCTGCACATTATTTATTTATTTTTTTTTGAGATGGAGTTTAGCACAGGCTGGAGTGCAGTGGCACGACCTCAGCTCACTGCAGCCGCCACCTCCCAGGTTCAAGTGACTCTTCTGCCTCAGCCTCCCAAGTAGCTGGGATTACAGGCACCTGCCACCACACTCAGCTAATTTTTTGTATTTTTAGTAGAGATGGGGTTTCACCATGTTGGCCAGTCTGGTCTCCAACTCCTGACCTCAGGTGATCCGCCTGCCTCAGCCTCCCAAAGTGCTGGGATTACAGGCATGAGCCACCGTGCCTGGCCTGAAATCTGCACTTTTGACAAGCATCCCAAGTGACTGTTAGCACACTGACTCTCAAGAATCTCCACTATAGAAGGAGTCAGAAGTGGCCCAATAGTACTTCTCCCTGTGGCTTGATGGCGAAGCCTCTGACCCTGGGCCAAGTGCTAAACTTCTCTGGGGAAAGCTACTGCCATGGCCCCTGGTACTGGGTGCTTGTGATGAATGCCAGGCAGAGCCCACACAGAAATCAAAAGAGTTTTGTCCCCTCATGCCTTTCATGCTGCAAACAGTTGCAAAGGCATTCCAGGAGTTGGGGACCACAAATTCTTTTGAGAACATGCATCATGATTAGGCAATTCATGTTAACTTTTTAATTAAAAAGACCATCACTAAACAGTAATAGTTTACAAATGCATGTACCTTTTGATCCCGCAACTCCACTTTTGGGAATTTATCCTAGAGATACATTTTATGCTTATACATTTGTACAAGATTATTCACTGAAGAACTGATTGTCATTGCAAAAGACTGGAAAGAATCCAAATGCTCATCACTGTGGAACTGGTGAAATAAATTATAGCACATTTATACAATGAAAGAAATGAAATGGCATATGAATTGATATGGAAATGTCTCCCAGACAGTTAAGGGAAAAAAGGTGAAGAACATGCATATAACATGCTAACTTTTGTGTATAAAAAGAGAATGTGAGACCCTACATTCCCGTTTACTTGTATATTCATAAAGAAATGCTGGATGTATGGATGCGAACAGTGGCTACCTCTGGGCCAGGGTAAACAGGAACTGAGCAGGTGGGGAATAAGATTGGAGGGGGACTTTTCACTCTATATATGATTATAACGTTTGGATTTGGAAACACGTGAATGTATTATTTATTCAAGAAATAATACATTTTTCATATTATTGTATTATCCCTGAATAAATAATACAATAAAATACAAAACATACATTCATTGTGGCCCTCTGCACAAGCAATCTGGTTGTGGTTCAGTTCCAGTTCCCCATACCCAGGAGTATTGGTGTCCTCTGCTAGGCTTGGTACCTGTGTAGAGCTCTTCAGACTTGGTGTTGCAGAGGCCAGCACCATTCCTGATGTCATCCCAGGTGAAATGTGGTCCTCTGAGCAGAATGCAGATTTCCTTTTTTGTCTTTTTCCTTCTTCCTTATGTTCTAAGAAAATGTAGATTTCCATTGTCCAAAGTGACAGCGAGAGGATGGGTCTTTAGTTTCTCATGGAGGAGAAGCAGCCCCACGAAGGTTCTGGGATTGGGTCCACTGTGCATGGGACAGCTCCCTGTACTGCATCTAGTAATGAGGCATCAGCTGCTCCTGACTCATGAGGAAGGAGTGATGGTAGCGATCCCGAGTGGCAAAGTCTGCGTTCTCCTGGGTGAGCTGAGTCATCTCCATGTCAACCTTAGCCAGGGATGGTGCCAAGATGATCTGCTCCCGAGGGGACTGCAAGCTCCTGCCGTGAGAGACACACAGAGGATGGTGAGAAGGACAGAAAAGAGACTGAACATGAAGGTGAGCCTATCAGGCATAGAGAAATTATTTGCAGACACACATGTATTTAAATGTTTAAAACATAATTGTTGAAAGGTATATGTACAAGAATATATATGAACTCAAGGCATGAGAAATACAAAGTATCACATACAATAAAGACAGAGAGAGTGTGATATTTACCCTAGGTAGAAAAGTATGAAGCTGTACCTACCTGATAGGAAATAACTGATAAAGAGAGGTGCTGCTTTCCAAATGGTGTCATGTTGGGGCTCTGTAGCTTCTCTTTGTTCTTGTCAAATGAAAAATAATGGAATGGAGAGGCTGGAAAATTGAGAAGAGTGGAAAGAGAAACCTTCTCGTAGATTTATTGAAAAGAAAATTGAATAAAGATGAATGATTTCAAGAGCTAAGGCTCACACAGCAAGCAACGAAGAGGGACAGCAAAGGCTTTTGACACCAAGGTGGCCTCAAATGAAGAGCAAGTCCCATATAGATCCCACTGTCACTGGAGTCTCTGCATACAGTTTGGGGTGGGATAAACTGGGAAAGAAAAATGTTAGGGATGCGTGGGGAAAGTGCTAAGAGGAAGAAAGGAGTGAGGAAAGCTCAGGCTGGCTATCCAGGCAGCTGCAGAAGGCAGATCCAGTCACAGCTCTGTCGCTAATCAACTTGGTGGCCTCCGGAAGCCTCTTTACCTCCTTGTGTCTCTATTTTCTCATCTTCCCGGGTCTCTTCCAGTTCCTACAGTCTGTGTTAGCTCCTTAAGTCATACCTTAGGCATGGATTTCCTCTGAAAATTCTTATTCTAAAAGAATCATCTACTTTATGAGTAGCAAGGTGCAATTATTTGAATATGGACTATATTTGAGAGTTGTGAAAAGGCAGAAATCTAATATTATAGATCTGTGGAACTTAAACAGAACGTTTCAACGGACTCTGGCCAAACGTCCTGCTATAGAAGTTTAGATCACATGACTATGGCATTACAGCCACTTGTTGAGAATATGTATAAATTATATAGGTCTCTGAGGTTCTTGAGAACTTAATTAACTTCTATAAAGGCTGAATCTCCAAAAAGGTTAGGAGGTGACACAAATGCCATACCAGTCAACATGTAAGTGTTTTTGCTAATGTTTTATTTTGATTTTTTTAGGTGAAACCATTACATTCTTCTGAGTCTGTAGAAATAATATACTTCACTCTCTAGTCTAGATTGGCTTACACATCCTCATTTGGACAGTGGCTAGTGCTTCAATAAAGAACACCTTCTCAATGACAGGTTCAACTTCACATAGTTCATGGGAATTGTAGGCATAACACAGCAAGTAACCTAGCCAAATTCTTCTGCCAAAACACACTCTACATTCTTCTTTTTTGGTTTTGAAGAGCATTTGGGGGTTATAGTTTGGGATTGGGAAGGGAACTCAAAATTACAAAGTAGAAACACAGCTACCAATCTCTATTTTTATTTTATTTTTTGAGACAGAGTCTCGCTCTGTCACCGAAGCTGGAGTACAGTGGTTGATTTCAGCTCACTGCAACCTCTGCCTCCCAGGTTCAAGCAATTCTCAAACCTCAGCCTTCCAAGTAGCTGGGACTACAGGTGGGCACCACCACACCCGACTAATTTTGTATTTTTAGTAGAGATGGTGTTTTGCCACATTGCTGAGGCTGGTCTTGAACTCTTGGCCTAAGTGATCAGCTTGCCTCAGCCTCCCTAACTGCTGGGATTACAGGTATGAACCAATGCATCTGGCCAATCTCTATTATTGTTTTTTTGTTTGCTTGTTTTGAGACAGGGCCTTATTCTACTGCTCAGGCTGGAGTGCAGTGGCATAATCTCAGCTCACTGCAATCTCCACCTCCCGGGCTCAAGTGATTCTCCTGCCTCAGCCTCCACAGTAGCTGGGACTATAGGCACCTGTCACCATGCTAGGCTAATTTTTGTATTTTAATAGAAATGGGGTTTTGCTATATTGGCCAGGATGGTCTCAAACTCCTGACCTCAGGTGATCCATCCACCTCAGCTTCTCAAAGTACTGGGATTACAGGCATGAGCCACTGTGCCTGGCCTTTCTTGGTTCTTTCAATCTCCTGAATAACCATTCCATGTATCACCCAGCAGCCATGGTGAGGCCAAGAAGTTTGATGTTGACTTAACTGAGGCCTCTGCCACCCACCTCATAGCCCACAGGTCCTGGTGTTTGTGTTATGAATGGTGTGGACTGATTCTACTCCAATAAAAGTACTGTCCTTTTCTAAGAATAATCTCCCCCTAGTACATTCTTCTTTCTACATAGCACTGCTGTGACCTCCAAGCTGAAATCCCAGGAATTCAGAGTGCGACATAAGAAGTGGTGACCTCCTATGGCATTGTTAGGCTTTAAAACCAGAAATGACTAAAAATATTCTTGTAAATCAGGCAAAGCAAAATAGTCTCACCCACACACCACTTGCAGCTCCAGAATCTGTAGGCAGCTTTTACACAGAATCTATTTCCATTTAAATTCTACTCTTTCTCAGGACTGGGTTGTAGGGGAGAAGAGATCAGTGTAGATGTGTTATGACCTGGGTCACCCAACCTTGTGCGTCAGACAGGACAAGAAGCAGAGAGATCACTCACCCTCCCTGCAGCTCCACATGGGACATTGAGCCCAGCTGGCCCAAGCAATGACAGGGTGCTCCCCATGCACCCCAGCCTCCAGCCCTGGGCCCTAATCCTGTTGGTTTCTACAGCCCTTGCTGCTGATTCTTGTCATTCCAAGCTCCAGCATGAAGGCTTTATTTCTTGTGCCATCTTAAATAGATTGTCAGTGTTTGTGAAGAGTCGTCTTAAAAAGGATTCTTGGAATGGAGAGTTAGTGTTTAATGGGTATGGTGATGGTAGCACAGCAATGTGAATGTCCTTAATGCCACTGAACTGCACACTGCACATAAACACGGTTAAACAGTACATCTCATGTTACACGTATTTTACCTTTTTTTTTTTTTTTTTGAGACAGTGTTATTTTGCCGACTAGCTGGAGTGCAGTGGCACGATCTTGGCTTACTGCAACCTCCACCTCCCGGATTCAAACAATTCTTCTGCCTCAGCCTCCCTAGAAGCTGGGATTATAGGCATGCCACCATGCCCAGCTAATTTTGTATTTTTAGTAGAGACAGGGTTTCACCATGTTGGCCAGGCTGGTCTTTAATTCCTGACATCAGGTGATCTTCCTGCCTCCCAAAGTGCTGGGATTACAGGCATGAGCCACTGCACCCAGCCCTATTTTTCCATTATTTTTTAAATGAGTGGGGGAAAAGCATTATGAAGTTACCTCTGGGCTCAATGGGAAAGGATCCCATGATCTGCTAGCAATGTTTGGACATGGAGGGTGGAAACATTAGCAAGTAAAACCTAGACATCTAAAATTTCAAAAACAAACCAACAAAATGTAACCAAATGAACATTTGGTCGGGCTCTGCCTGGATTTTCCTAGCCTGCAGCTCTAGCTCCTCACTGATATTGAAAGGGGACAGAAGGGTGGGTATAATGCCCCAGAATCCCAAGCCTTAAAAGATAAGAAGCATTGGTACTGCAGGAGTGGAGGAGGAGGAGTGAGATTAGGACATGTATGTAATATACCTTCTCTATGAGGCTTCTATTTCTCAGGAGGGTTTTTTTCCTTTTTCCTGTATAACTGACCATGGAGGTTCCACAGAAATCCTTCAGGATCTCCACTTTCTTTCTATACTTGGCCTCTGCACTGTCTCCAACCCAGGAATGTCAACTACTTCTGATTCAGATGGAAAAATGTGCATCTTGGCGTGACATTTCCCTTGGGCTTTAATCTTGTGTGTGATTATGCATTGATGCTAATGTGTCTTGGACTGTAAACTGACTGAGAGGAGTGTAGTGACTTACCACCCCAGCAACCAGATTCTAAATAAAGCCTCTGTTCTTGATGACTGAGGATAAGAAGGAAAGAGGACATGAGCCTAAGGGAAGCTTCTGATGAGCTGAATCTGGGGGCTGAGTGTGGTGGAGTATAGATGGGAGCAACATCTGAGTCTCCCAGAGGTTCCCATGCCACAATCCAGGCCCAAGCCCAGCCAGGAATGAGACACCCTGGGCATCTCCCAGGACTCTGGACACTCATCCATTCTGGTACAGACCTGCAGGAGGGGATCAAGAGAGACCTCATCCACTGGAAAAAGCTGAAATTGGAGGCTGATCCTGCAAAGAAGACATATACATAACCATTTTTGAAGGTTCTATATATGCATCTAGAAGCTCAGTTTTAATAGGGTGAATGCATACCCCAGTACATACACATGCACAGGATTCACACTTACGTTTGCCTTTTTCAGTCTAACCAAACAATATGTACTGTAATCCTCCATGACAGCAGCCTACTAAGGACTTTTACTCATGTGAGTCTTTCAAAAATGCATTTCTAAACTCCAAAATCACTCCCAAAAAACTGGACAAAGTGCTATAAAGAAAAATGCAGAGTTGCTAACTTTAGTCTTAGGAATTAAAAATTTTTGATAATTTTTTTAAGACTCATACTCATAAGTGTTGAATACACCTATAAAAATTTTCTACTAGACCATACAGTTGTTGAGAATAGAGAACATGTCTTTTTCATCCCTATAATCCTCACAGTACCTCACAGGATCTGGCACTTAGGAATTTTTTTAACAGATGTTAAGTGAATCAAATAGTTCCATATGTAGAAATGTTAGAGCTGAGGTTTGAAGTGACATTGTTGTTGATTCTAGCCAAATAATCCTGACATCAAACACATTATTTGAATAGGGTTTATCAATTAAAAAAAATCCATCCCTCTTTTGGTGTAGGTTTAAAAAAATTCACATAGTAAATTATATATAACTTTAGAGAAACAAATCAAATGTGATTTTAGAAAATGCTTTTCTAGGCTGGGTGTGGTGGTTCATGTCTGTAATCCTAGCACTTTGGGAGGCCAGTGCAGGCAGATCACAAGGTCAGGAGATAGAGAACATCCTGGCCAACATGGTGAAACCCTATCTCTGCTAAAAATACAAAAATTGCCAGGCGTGGTGGCATACACCTGTAGTCCCAGATACTTGGGAGGCTGAGGCAGGAGAATTGCTTGAACCCAGGAGGCGGAGGCTGCAGTGAGCTGAGATCACACCACTGCACTCCAGCCTGGATGACAGAGTGAGACTGTCTCAAAAAAAAGAAAATGCTTTGTTAAATTATATAGACATATGATTAAAAATTGATTAATTAGATAATGTTCAATATATGATCAGGAAAATGGCATTATTTTAAGAGGTTTCTGTTAGAATCTCCACAACTATCAACAGCATGCAGCTGATAACCAGTTTCCTCAACACCATTTAGGTCTTTATTGCTAAAGAGAAGGTAAATTTTAGATTTGCATTAATATCTGCAATTGCAAAGAGAAGGTTTCTAATGTATTTTGAGATTGTCAGAAGGAAGAACATAAACAAATATTTTATTAACTGACCCTACTTAAGTGTGATCATTTAAATTCTAAATAATTTAAATTTGATGTACATTGGCCTGAAATTTGATTTCATGTTTTCTTATGAATAGATTTCTAGAAAATATTTAAATATTTAGATTTAAATTTCTTAGGAAACTTTTTAAGAAACCAGAAGCAATCACTGAAGTAATCACTGTTAATTAAAATATATTCTATATTAATATAATTAAAATACAAAATATATTCTATCCATGAAGTCAACTAACATAAGAACCTCCTCTTAACATTACTGTTTTTTCTAAATTACTTTTTTAAATATACAAATGACTTAAAATGTTTGAAATGCATCATTCGGAAGAACTTTTTTTTTTTTTTTAATTTGCCTAGATAGTTATGGGCCATCTGATTTAGTTAGTAGTGGTAACAAATTGCTTTATTTTAAATTGGGGCATCATAAAATTTTGCTGAAAAGGGTTCTCTTAACATATTTTTAAATAGCTTTATTATTGAGGAATAATTGATATGTAATAAACTGTATGTTGACTATATTTTCTTGTTTTCTATATTCTGGATGCTCTTAAATTTTGGCCCTTCATCCTGGAGGGTCTAGCTAATTCCTAGATACTGAATAGCAAACAATTCCCCTGTAAGTGGGCTTTTGATATACAAACCAACCAATCCAGGGCCCACCCTTAATTTAGTTCTTTATCAAATCTCACACACCAAGCCAGTACTCCCCCTGTCCTAAATCACACCAAGACCAGACAACTATAGATCATCCCTATATCCCAGAGCCTGCTGAAATCACTCGAATTATTCAGTCCTAACCTCATTTAGTGTACCTACCCTGCCTTGCTCATTCCTTTCCACAAAAAAACCCAAAAAGGCTCTAGGCCATGGTCTCCCCTCTTCCTCTTCTGCCCCATGACTAACCCTGGTCCATTCCCATACGGCCCTGCATGGCATGCCAAACCTCCTGTTTCTAATGACCTTCCTCCTTCACGATAGTCGTTTCCATGTCTGTGTATGTTTTACCACACCCGATTAAAACAAATCCTGGGTACATATGCAGAAGAAACTGCATGTAAAGACAAACTGCATGTAAAGAACATAACTTACAATGATTCTTTATGACTGGTTTATCAGGACATACTCCCACCATTAAGTCAAGGAGTATCTGTACTTAAAGTATACTATTTGGTCTGCATATGTACTATACACACATCTAACCATATATACACTGTGAAATCATCACACAAGCAAGATAATGAACATGTCTAGCACCTCCCAAAGTTTCCTCAAGCCACTTCATTATATCTCTCTCCCATGTACCCTTACTTCACTCCCACCCAAAAGTATCCACTGATCTGCTATCATTATAAATTAAACCCGGCCTTACTAGCATTTTTTGAAGATCAGAAGTCCTTAATTTTGATAAAGTCCAATTTATAAATTTTTTCATGCTTTTGTTGTATTTAAGAAATCTTTGCTAACTCACAGTCACAAAGGTTTTCTCTTACGTTTTCTTCTAGAAATGGTATAGGTTTCGGCTTCACATTTAGTTCTAATATCCATTTTGAGTTATATATTTATATGGTATGATATATGGGTGGAAATCTACTTTCTGCTTTTGGCTTTGTGGTTGTTTCAGTGCCATTTGTTGAAAGACTATTTTTTCCTTCCACTGAATTATCTTTGAAACTTTTTCAAAAAGCAGTTGGCCATATGTGTGTGGGTCAGTTTCCAAATCCTCTACTCTGTCCATTGATTCACTTGTCTAGCTTTTCCATACCCACACTGTCTTGATGACTTTAGCTTTAAAATCAGTCTTGAAATCAGGAAGTTCAAGTCTTACAACTTTATTCTTGTTTTACAAAATTAGTTGGGCTATTAGGTCCTTTGCATTTCCATATAAATATTTTAGAATCTGATTGGCAGTTTCTATAAAAAGGCAGCTGAGATTTTGACTGGGATTATATTAAATCTATAAAAAAAATTGTGGATAATTGGAAATTTAAGAATATTAAGTCTTCCAATTCATGAACATAGTATATCTCTTCATTTATTTCTTTAATTTACTCTTTAATTTTTTTCAGAAATGCTTTCTCATCTGTAAACATAGTGAATTACATTGATTAACTTCAAATGCTAAATGAACCTTGCATTCCTGTAATAAACCCACTTGACCATTGTATATTATTCTTTTTACATATTATTGCAATTAATTTGTTAAAATTTTTAAAGAATTTTTGCATCTATATTCATGAGGTACGTTACTGTATAGTTTTCCAAAGAGTTTGTATAGAGTTAGTATTTTTTCTTCCTTAAAGATTTGGTTGAATTTATCAGTAAAGCTATCTGGACCTAGGCTTTTCTCTCTGGGAAGGTTTTCAATGACCAGTTTAATTTATTTAATAGATGAGCTGAATAGCCCTGTATCTATTTCTTCTTGAGTGAGCTTTGGTAGTTTGTATTTTTCAAGAAATTTGTCCAATTCATCTAAGTTTTCAATTGATCAAGAGAAACCTGTTTACATTATTCCTTTATTTCACTTTTAATATCTTTAAGATTTTTAATGATGTCATCTCACTCATTTCTGGTTTTGGTAATTTGTGCTTCTTCTTTTATTCTGGTCAGTCTGGCTACAGGTTTATCAATTTTACTGATCTCACATAATCAGTTTTTTGCTTCATTTGTATTTTCCAACTTTTTTTCTGTTTTACATTTTATTAACTTCTACACTGATCTACTCTGATTTATTATTTCCTTTTTTTTTTTCCTTCTTACTTTGGGTTTAATTTGCTCTTCTTTTTCTAGTTTCTTAAGTTGGATGTTGGGATCATTGATTTGTGAATGCTCTTCTTTTCTAATGTAAGCATTTGATGCTATACATTTCCCTTGGCTATATCCCACAGTTTTGCTGTGTTGCATTTTCACTTTGATTCAGTTCAAAATACTTGTAATTTCACTCTGCTTTATTCTTTGAATCATGGATTATTTCTTTTCTGAATTTTAATTAGGGTTAGGTAATATTCTTTAGTTTCTAAATATTTGGGGATTTTTTTTTTTACATTTTTTATTTAGGAGACAGAGTCTTGTTATTTTGCCAAGGCTAGCCTCACACTCCTGGTCTCAGGCAATTCTCCTGCCTTAGCCTCCCAAGTAGCTGGGACAATAGGTGTGTGCCAACTGTGCCTGGCATATTCAAGGATTTTCCGATATCTTTCTATTATTTATTTCTAATTACTCCCGATTTGGTCAGAGAACATACTCAGTTCTTGAATTGACTTTGAATACTTTTAAACTTATTGAAATATTTTTTATGTCCTAGAATATAGTCTCTACTGGTAAATGTTTCATGTATAATTGAAAAGAATGTATATTCTGCTGTTACTGGGTAGAATGTTCTGCCAATTAGTCCAGGTTTGTTGATAGAATTATTCAAATCTTCTATAGCCTTACTGATTGTATACTTATTTGTTTTACCAATTATTAGGAAAGAGGTATTGAAATCTCTGACGATGGTTGTCAACTTTTTCTTGTAGTTCTATCAGGGTTTGTTTTGCTTATTTCAAAGTTGTGTTTTTCAGTGCATAAATGTTAAGGTTTATTATGCCTTCCTTATGAGTTTTTCCCTTCAGCTTTATGAAATGATCCTCTTTATCCCTGTAATATTCTTTTCTACAAACTCTACTTTGCCTAATGTTAATATAGCTACTCTGGCTTTGTTTTTCACTAGTGTTAGCCTGATGTATCTTTTTCCATCCTTTTACTTTTAACATGGTTGTGTCTTTGTATTTAAAGGAGGATTCTTGCAGGCAGCATATAGTTGTGTCATGCTTTTTCATTCAATCTGACAATCTTTGGCATTCAATTAGGGTGTTTAGGCCATCCATATTTAGTATGATTATTGATATGGCTTGGATTACACATACATAAACCATCTTGTTATTTGTTTTTTGCTTGCGTCATTTGTCGTATATTATCTTTTTCTTCCTTTTCTGCCTTATTTTGATTGAGTACTTTTTATCTCCTTTATTGGCTTAACTGTAACTGTGTTATCTTAGGTTGCTTTAGGGTTTATAGTATACATTTTAAGCTTACCACAATGTATCTTCAAGTGATGTTATAGTATTTAACAAAGCATAAGAAACTCACAATAGTATAGTTTCATTTCATTCTTCCTAGCTCTTGTACTATTATTATCCACTTTACTTCTACATGTCTTATAAACCTCACACTGTTATTATTTTTCATTTATAATAATTCATGTGCTTATCACAGTTCTCCTAGACTATAAGCTACTTGAAAATGGGATTCATGTCTGAATCAGTGTTGGCATTCAATTGGTATTCAAAACATTTTTTTCTCCCAATGAATTGCGAAGGGAATGAGGGAACCAGTGGCAAAATGGCTCTGCTGCTTACCAAGGTGAAGCCCTGGACTGGCCCGGCCAATGTAGAAATACACAATGGCAGCAACACCCATGTTAACCAGGGTATACACCCACTGTATCACAAACATGATGAGAAGGGACCCAACAGCCTGTGAAAACAGAGTAGAAAGAGCAAATCACCTAATGGCTTTCTACATGGTAAGCAAGCCACAAGGCTAAGGTCTTCAGCACCAACAGCCCCTCTCATCAACTTCTGATCGCTGTAAAAGTCTGAATAATTGAAGTTTATGAATAATTAAAAACCTCTATTAAGCAGATATTTGGGCAGACACCCTCTGAAAGTAACTCTTTAATCAGAACTATTAATAAATAGATATTCCATCTTATCTCTTTGTCCCATTTCTCCTTATAAGAAACAAATTAAAATGCAAGTATGGTAATTTAGTGTACTAGAAATTTAGTAACCCAGAAGTTATCATAGACAATTATTTAAAAAGGAAATCATTGATTAAAATAAGTGGTTCATTAAATGTAATCTTGCCATATGTACTCTCATCTAAATTCTAATACAATAGGCAATTAAATCACATTACTTCTAATTAAGCCCTCCATCTTTCCTCCCCCTCAGCCCAAGATCACATATGTGTCCACCTGAACTTTGTCCCAAGAACAATTGAGATCAAGATGAAGTTACTCACGCCCAACAAGGAGACCCAGGGGTTGCACATGTTGCTATAGAAAGAAGTTGGTCTTCTCCAGACATCTTGTTCTTGGAGCCTGGACTTCAGGAAGAAATCTAAAAAATAGCCAAAGATTTGGCTGCCAAATTGCTACCAAACCCTCTACTATTTTTAGGAGCAAATACCTATTAGCTCTTCTTCCCCAATTTTGTAACTTGGCCTAAAAGACAATTCCCAGGGCTTGCTCTTGGAGAAGGAAGAAGTGTTTATGGCCTCTCATCAGCCAAGGATCTGAGAAAGAAAGGTAAGAGAGAGAGAGAAAGGTCCTCTGACACTCAAGGCATGTCCGTCCAGATAGGTCATCTGGGAGAACTGGAAACTCAGCTCTCCCCTCTTTTTCATACGTAAGGAGTTAGAGTGGGAGAACTAGACACCTGGTATTCTTGGCTCCCAGGTGTGGCCACTAGGATTGCTGGGACAGGTTGGCTTTTGTCTAATAAGAGATGGTCTTTGCTACCTTCTGATTCTGAAAGTTAGCGTTAGACCAATTTCAGGTATCAACCAGAAATTGATGAAGGAGAGAGATGGAGGGAGAATAGTTCCTCTGATTCCTTTTCCTGGGAATCGAGGTGGCTGAGGGGGAAGGGGCCCAGCGATAAACAAATGCATGGTTCTGCCTCATCCTCCGTGGATTTCAGGCACAACAGTGCTTCTCAGAGCCATGCCATGTTCTATTCAGCTCTGGATTCTCAATTTACAGCTGGTTCCAGAAGCACTCAATTAAAAAAAATAATTTTTTTAATATCATAGTAGTAAACTTCGGGCTTTTAGTGTAAACATCACTCAAATAGTGTACACTGTATCCATTAGGCAATTTCTCAGCCCTCAATCTGCCTCTTACCATCCCACTCTCCTACCTTTCCATGTCTCCAGTATCTATCACTCCACCCTCTGGGTCCATAGGTACACATTATTTAGCTTCTGCTTATAAGTGAAAGCATGCTGCATTTGACTTTCTATTTCTGCAAAAATGCTCAATGTAGCTATGAAAATGAATCTAGATTGTGTAACAATATGGTCTAATCACCATGAACACCACAATACTGTTTCAAACAAATGATATGTTGGATTAACTTTGCAGTATGTTTATACTTCATTTCAACACTAAAACTTCAGGTGTTTTCAACCTTCATAGTTCGTTGCTTAGGAAATATAGTAGATCACTCCCTAAGTAGCCCTTCTCTAATCTCCAATACAAAATTTCTGCTTCAGCCAAACTGCCTTAACTGTGCCATCTCCTCTGCCCAGCCCTTCCTTCTTCACCATGGTCCAGATCCTGTCTCATATACCAGTGTTCCTCCCACTTCAACCACCCCTGATGTGTTGATTCCTGGAATCTATCTGGGATCATGTCTCATGGATCCCCTAGCTTATGCATCCCTCAGGTCTTGGCTCAGTTATCACTTTCTCAGAGAAATCAGCCCCCACAGTAAAATCTAAATATATTTCCTCATACTATTAATATTTCCTTATGACTCATTTCCTTCCCAGCACTTATCATCATTTGTAGTTGTATACTTATTTACACGTTTCTATGACCACTGGATTATATGCTTCATGAGGGCAGGTTCACATCCATCATGAGCCTAGGGCTTGGCACGTAGCAGAACTCACTAAGTATCCTAGTCCAAGCCTTCCATCCTCTCTGGTCACTGTGGCTTTATGACCTAGCCCCTTTGAAGCACATGCCATCAGACTATTTCACACCCTACCCTTTATCGTTGCAGTCTTTCGCCAACTTGTCATTCTTCTCTTGCTTGTTAAATATTTCAGCCCCTGGCTTACCATCTTTTTCTCTATTAGCATCCATTGTCATCCTTGGTGGCTCCTACAAAAACAACTCATCCAAAGCCCTGCTTTCTCGATTCCTTGAAATCCTAATTCTAATAATCTTTTCTTTCACTCATCCCAACCATCAACTCCCTTAGCTGCACTTGAGGTGTGCCATTACCAGGAACCTTATACTTCCTAAATCCTGACTTTAAGCAACCTACTCTCAGCCCATAACCTTCTTTAAAAACAATGTTAAGCTCATTTGCTCTGCCATTCCTCATTCCAACCATTCATAGTCTACAGAGGGACCTTTAGATACTTTGCCTTGGTATGTTGTTTATTTCCGTCACCTACCTCCCACTTTCCCTGCCCTCTGATCTAGCTTGGGTTCCACTATCCAAGACTATCAGCATTCCCCTGCATACACATTTGCTCCCATGCTTCAGCATTACTCAGCAGCCTCATTCTTAGCCAACTCATTCTCCTACTCTCTGACAGAACAAATTTATAAGCTCTCTTCTCCAAAGAGAACTTTTCATATTCTCTTATCACCAATTCATTTGCCAAATCACTTGCATCTGTACCCTCTATTCTGCCTGCCTTCCTTTCATGGTGGATGAACAGCTTCTGATCCTACGTAAGGCCCATCCCTCCACTTGTGCCTGGATCCCATCCCTTTTGGCCTGTTCAAGGACTTTGTTTTTGTATCAACAATTTTTCTGTCCCCTACTAAATCATTCCCATCAAATACAGGTACACTGTCACCTCTCTCACCTAAACAAATGTCTACAGGTCACCCCTAGTTATTGCCCTATTTTTGTGTCTCCCTTATAGCAAACAGCCTCAAAAGAATTTTCTATGCAGTCTCTATATCTCATTATTTCCTTAACCCACTCTTAAGATTCTATCCACCTTTCCACTAAAACTACTCTTACCAAAGTTGCCAATGATTTGAATCTTTTCAAATTCTGTGGTCAACTCCTAGTCCTCATCCCATTTGATCTTTCAGGCATCATCTGATACATGGGATTACTTCCTCCTTCTTGAAACACTTTCTCCTCTAAGATGCCTCACTCTCTTGATTTTTCTCACTGTTCACTCTCTCAGTCTTCTTTGCTGGCTTGCCTCCTCCTTCCAGACTGAAAATATTGGAGTATCCCAACATTCCGTCTTCAGCACCCCTTTATTCCATGTATACCCACTCCTAAGAGATTTCTTCTAGTCCCATGGCTTTACATGCTACTGATAATACTGATGACTCCAAGTTTACATCATCCTTGACCTCTCCCTTGAACTTAAGTTTTGAATAGCTCATTGTCTTCTCAATATCACCCATTAGCTGGCTAATAAGCACCTTACACTTAACATGACTAACACAGAAACCTATGTATTCTATGAAATCTATGCTTCATGCAATTCGGTTCTCCATTAAAATATCATCTTCCCAGTGATATCTTTTCTGATAAACCTATCTGAAACAGTGCTTCTTCTTCCCCACTCTTGTCTCTCTTTATCTCATTACTCCACTTTATTTTTCTTCATTATACTTATCACTTATTGACATCACAGTGAGCATTTGCTCATATGTCTTCCCCTACTAGAATGGAAGTGCTCTACAACAGCAAAAACCTCTGTGTCTAATCAGCATGTTCCCCCAGCACTTAGGACAATGTCTGGAATATACGAGGTGTGCCATACCTGTGGGTGAATGAATAAATCATTCTACACCTTGAGAAAACTTCATCCCCTCCACATCTATTTGCATTCATCATGTGCCTCCAAGTATTATGCTTATCTTTTTATACATCTATACCTTCAGGGATAAGGACCCTCTTTTATATTCTAAATGCCAAATCTAGGCATTTAGAAGTTCGTGTATAGAAAGCACTTAGTGCAAGTCTCCTTATTACGGATTAAAATAAAGTCTGCAAGATTGATCTGAATGGATGGCTCTATTACTTTAAAAAAATAATTGTTATGATTGACATTAATTAAATTGTTAAAATGATACAATTTAATTAATGACAATCATAACAGAATTATTTTTAAAATTGTATAATTTTACCAATTTAATTAATGGCAACATAGGCTTAGTAAAATGCAGTTGCCCCCTTGGTTATTAAGAAGAAACACTAGGCCAGGCGTGGTAGCTCACGTCTATAATCCCAGCACTTTGGGAGGCCAAGGCAGGCAGATCACGAGGTCAGGAGTTTGAGACCAACCTGGCTAACATGGGGAAACCTTGTCTCTACTAAAGAAAATACAAAAAATTAGCCAGGCATGGTGGCAGTGCCTGTAATCCTAGCTATTCAGGAGGTTGAGGCAGGAGAATCACTTGAACCTGGGAGGAGGAGGTTGCAGTGGGCCAAGATCGTGCCACTGCACTCCAGCCTGGGAGACAGAGCGAGACATTGTCTCAAAAACAAACAAACAAAAAACTCACCCTTTACAACACTTGAAGTTATACAACCTCAATTTTACCGAACCTAAAGGGAACTCCGTATACACGTGTGTGCGCTCTGAGGAACTTGGGCAGAAGTAGTAGGAAGGGCTGTCCTCTAGGCAGGCACAATGCTGCTTTATATATCAGCAATGTAAGAGAGAATTTATGCAAAGATGCTCAATGACTCTTTGAATAGGTGCTATAAAATAAACAACTATTCATAATTCTGAATAGCTAGGGTTTCAAAACTCTTCCAAAGTGACTAAAGGAATTTTTTTTTCTTGTCTCAGATTTTGCTAGAAAAAGCAAGCTGTTGTCATGGGGGCAGGGGACAGCTTCTCATGCTAGAAATATTAGGAAGAAAAAACTAGGAAGGCAATTTTACTTTATCAAGCCTCTACTCATAAAACAAACTAATAAGCATGCATCATGCATGTTAAAAATACCAACATAACAAATATAATGCAAAATATTAAACTGACTTTAAAAATCTAGTGATACATCTAAGTTCTATGTTCACAGCAGATATAAATACTTTAAGCATAAAGGGGATAACCCCAATTATGTTAATTTTTAAATAATAAATTTAAGTAATTTTATAGAAATTACTTAAATATTAAACCACTTGTGAAAATTCATTTCTTTTTCAGAAAAAACATGTAGTTCTAATTAGCATGTATAAACTGCTAATGTGTATTGCCATAGTCTATACAGAATCATGTGTAAAGTCCATGTGGTTGT